AATCTCACCAAAATATCCTATACCTATAGACTAACATACAAAGTCAACCACAATGGCTCGGCGCCTGTGGCTCAAGCAGCTAAGGCACCAGCCACATACACCTAAGGTGGTGGGTTCGAATTCAGCCTGGGCCTGCCAAACAACAATGACAGCTGCAACCAAAAAATAGCTGGGCGCTGTGGCAGGCACCTGTAGTCCCAGCTATTTGGGAGGCTGAGGCAGGAAACTTGCTTGAGCCCAGGAGTTGGAGGTTGCTGTGAGCTGTGATGCCACGGCACTCTACCCAGGGGGACAGCTTGAGGCTCTGTCTCAAAAAAAAAGTCAACCACAACAATCATCCTAACATAAAAACAGACAAATGGCGAGAGTGAGAACAAATTGGGTAATATATGCAAATATACATGTGACAAGTACACGTATTTTAGTTTTCTCTTGCCGCATGAGTAAACAAATCATCTCAGAACTTGGTTTTAAAGAACACCCATTTTATCTCTCTTGATTTGGTAGGTTGGCTGAGGTCATCTGGCCCATTCTGCTGCTGGTCTCACTAGGGCCTCCTCAGGTGGCTGCGGTCAGATGGCAGCTGAGGTTGGATTTGTCTCTTTATACACCTGGGATATAGTCTAACCACAGAGCCTATCTGCCTTCCCAAGCAAGCTTTCCACAGGGCCTCTCCTGCAAGGTCGTGTGCTCATTTCATGGTGGCTCAGGGCTCCCCAAAGCAAGCGTTCCGAGGGAGAAAGCAGAAGCCGCCAGTCCTCTCAAAGGCTGGGTCTAGAACGGGTACAGTTTTACTTGCACGGCATTTAAGTGGTTAACACTGGTCACAGACTAGCCCTGGCATACATGGGAGGGAGCTACCCACAAGCATGAATAGCAGCAAGAGGTGGCTCACTGGGGCCACCGTGGGTCTAGTTACCACCAGAAACTAGGAAGGAATTACACAGCATTCCCACTGTCCTCACATCCAGCCCTCCTGGGGCTGGAATTGATATTTATAGCTTCCTTGTTCATCCCATATTCCCTCTGCTCTCAGACAGTACTAGGAATAGAGTCTTTTCACCTGGAGTATAATCTTAATTCCTGAAAGATCTGAACTCTTAGTGGTGATGTCATTATTGGGATGCTATAGTTTGTCATTAACTTTTATCTTTTAACATGAACCAAAAGGCCACCCCTCCAAATCCCAGAGAATTCTCAGAATATTCCCTTTCCCTACTGTACGGCAGTGTCCCATTTCTCCTAAGTAACTGAGATCAGTCCTTCCAGTCAACACAGTAAACACCTGTACTCTGCCTATTGCTTCAAGGCATTGAAGAACCCCAGGCCACCAGCTACTCTTGTGCATTACCCCACACTTCCCTGCCTAGCAAAGCTGTGAGGCTCAAGAGAAGCAAGAATGGCAAGTGTAAAATGTGGCAACTCCAGGTAAACAGCAGTTACTCTTTTCTGCTCTTAGCACTCCCCTTCCCAAAGCAGCTATTTCAGACTTTCTCCACTACTTCACACTTTCTACCTCATCATCTCTGTCCTCATTCTCAGCAAATCATCTGAGCTGTTTACCTTTCTCAGCTTCCTATCTCAACCTCCCCCACAGGTTGTTTAGAAATTAACCTGCAACCCCACCCAACCTTATGCCTTTTTCTCCTGTCATTACAGAGGGTCTGGGTGAGGTAGCTATGGACTCCTATATCAAGTGTGCCCTACTTCTCCCCCAGTCAAGCCCTTGGGTCCCTGGATTATGACTATTCACTGCTCCATGTCTTCATAGTCTGTAAGTGATGGGACAATCCCTGACACATTCTAGGCAAGTAGGCACTATTTGCTAAATAAGCACATTTTATATTTGTGTACATCAATGTCATGGCAAGGTTCATTACCAAAGGACCACATAGTTCCTTAGCTACCAAAGGCAAAAATAATAATAATAATATTAAAATGCCATTTAATTCATTTATAGTTTAAAGCCAGCAGAATATATATTTTAATTGTTATTTTAGCAAGAAGATATATACAGTAAAACCATCCAATTTTTTTAAATTGCCTATTTTAAAGTCACTGAAAAAGATTTCCCAATACATCTTCTAGGCAAGGCATCAGACCTAAATTTTTTTTATTTAAAACATATACCAAGTCCCTCAAAAACTTATTTAATTCATTTTCAAATACCATTTTGTTAAAGGTCTCTATAACAGACTTAAAGGTTATAGACTATATAATTCATGCTTTACATTATTATACTTCCTACCTGAAGATGAAAGGTCTAGCTGTGGTTTGGAATTTCTGTTAACCTACATACAGTATTCTATGCATATATTATTTTCATTACCAAATTTCATCTTTCCTGATTGAAGGAATACTAGCGAACTGAGGTGGTCAAAAAGAGATCAACGTGTCAGAAGAGGAAAGCGGCAATCTGAAGCAACCGACCCCCCCAGGTGCTGATACACTGAAGATGTCAATCACTTTGAGCATTCCTGGGTAGGAAGCTTCTTTGGGTACTGGGGTCACATATCACCTGCTGGCTGAAGTGGAGTGAATTAAATCACAAAAGCTAAGAATAAAGAGTGTTAATCAAACAAATAGACCCACCTCTGATAACACGGAGAACTTTCAGATGAAGCAGCATTTCCAAAGAGCACAATTGTTTCACAAAGACCTGACAATGAATTTTCCTTGCCTGTAAATTTTATTTGAAAAATGACAAGGATAAAAATGATGTATTACATTTTCCTACCCTTTACATTTGACATAAAATAAAATTTCAGCCCAGTTGTGGTGGCTCTTGCCTTTGGGAGGCCAAGGCAGCAGGATTGCTTGAGGCTGGAAGTTCAAGATGAGTCTGGCCAACGTAGTGAGACCCATCTCCACACACACACAGTTTTGTTTTCTTGAGACAGAGTCATCTTGGGTCAAATGTCATGATGACGTCATAGCTCACAGCAACCTCTGATTCTGGGGCTCAAGCAATCTTCTTACAACACTTTTTCGTATTTTTAGTAGAGACAGGGTCTCATCTGGCTTGGGCTGGTCTCAAGTCCTGCACTTAAGCAATCCACCTGCCTCGGCTGCCCAGAGTGCTAGGATTACAGGTGTAAGCCCCTGCTCCTGGCCTACAAAAATGTTCTTAATTAGCCTGCCATGGTGGTGTGTGCCTGTAGTCCTACTTACTCTGGAGGCTGAGCAGGGAAGATTCCCTGAGCCCAGGAGTTCCACAGAGTGAGCAATGATAGTGCCACTGCACTTTAGCCTGGAGTCTATCACCATATATCCTGGTCATTCAACCTGGGGTTGTCACAATTTCTCGGGGGGTGTCACCACCATTCACATACATATGTGGTTAGTTATGTCTCTGATTATATCTGCTAAGCTCAGTTATTTTTTCTGGGAAGAACCCAGCCATGAGGAAATGGGACTAAGGTCCAGTAGGAGGAAAAGATGACACATGGAAAGGACTGAAAGTCTGGGGACATGAAATTGGCAGGGCTGACAAGGAGTTTAATGAGAGACCCTGGACACACAAGTCCAGTAAAAGGGCGAAAGGTTAAGATGGTCTTCTACCAGAAATTGAAAACAGATAGATAGATAGATAGATAGATAGGCCAGGTGGAGTTTCTCAAGCCTGTAAACCCAGCACTCTGGGAAGCCAAGGCAGGTGGATTGCCTGAGCTCAGGAGTTCAAAACCAACCTGAGCCAGAGCAAGACCCTGTCTCTAAAATTAGCCAGGGTTGTGGTGGGCGCCTATAGTCCCAGCTACTTGGGAGGCTGAGGCAAGACAATCGCTTGAGCCTAAGAGTTTGAGGTTGCTGTGAGCTATGATGTCAGCGCACTCTACCAGGGCGACAAAATGATACTCTGTCTAAAAACAAACAAACAAAAAAAGATGGGTAAAGACGTCAAAGATAGAGGCCACTTAATTCACAACTCGGTCTCCAGCAGGATCTTCCTGGTCAGGCTTGGTGGACGGTAACCTGTGGGTTGGGAGAAGAGCTAGAACTAAGAAAGACACCAAGACTACAAAATCAACTTTGTGCCCACTCCAACACGCTTTTCTTCCCCCACCAGGAAACAGGCACCTGGAAGGCGCCCACAAAATGAATACCTCAAATGGAAGTTGCGAAACAGGCAGAGAACAGCGAAAGTGCCGTCACACCTCCCTTCTCAGAGGTGGTCACTCTGCCCCCATCTTCTGCTCGGTTCTAGCTTTCCAAGTCCAAAGAATAACCTTCCCACATCCCTTTTCTCTCTCAGCCATCACAGAAGCTTATGACCCCGCCCGTGCAAAAATGTGGTTCGCATTCGTTTCTTTTAGGGTGAACTGAGGCAATCGAGGCGAGGCGAGGCCCCTGGGGACAGGCAGGTAAACGCCTGTGTCTTTTTCCACCAAGCGAGGAAGAGCAGAGGCTCAGTTTGAGTGCTCACTTGGGGGTTGTGAGCGCACACCCTCGACCTGGCAGCTCTCTTTATATCCCCATTCCCTCAAAGTGACTCCAGGAAAAGGACAGGCCAGAACCTCCTGCCTTGGACCCCTGGATCAACGCTCCCACCAGAAAGAACGCCCAGCACCGGGAAATCTCTAAAGCAGTCAACGCTGAAAGAAGAAACCGAAGTCGTGGCTGTGGCCGCTAGAGGGCTCCCGCGGGCGGGCGAGGCCGGCTCTGACAGGGGGGCGGGCAATAGACCGAGAGGGGCGGGGCCCGGGGCTGGCAGGCGGAAGAGCAGGTTTCCGCGTCTGACTGGGCGCCTGCCCCTCTCCCTTAACTTCCGGTCCCGATTCCCACTCTTGCCGGTCCCGGAGCTGCTGGGTTAGCTTTCCCCAGACATCTAAGTGAGGCCTGCGGCTCCCCGCCTGCTACCGCAAGACCACCCCCCCCCCGCCCGTCAAGCATGCATTACCTAGTGCCATGGTCACAGTCACCGTCACAGGCGCCCTCAACCCCACCCTGGCCCGCCCGCAGTCTTTCTCCCTCACCCGCACCTGCCAACAAGCTCCCCGGGGCCGCAGGTGCGGACGACAACGAAATTTCAGGCCCCGCGGAGCCAGCCAGCTCTGGAGAGGGGAAGCGGAGGTGCGGTCCTGTGGCACTCCCAGGCTGATGTCCCAGGTGCGTCGGAATCCCAGAGGCGCCGCTTAGTGCGGCAAGGATGGCCCGGAGGCCGGGTCCTGGATCCAGGGACCCTCGGACCCAGCTGCTGTACCTCCTGGTATTTCCCCCTAACTCTGACGGGGTGGATTCTCACGCAGTTGGGAGCCAGGAATCCCCTTGAGGGTCCTGTCCCTTTCAAACAGCATAACTGAGTCTCCACGTCTCTGCAAAGGGATTCTTGTCTAGAATCCCCGGAGCCTTTAGGACAGACAGCTCTTGATTCTGTCGGATGACGATTCTGTTTGACTTTCAGAAAGACCACAGGGGTAAAAATAAGTTGAATTTTTCTTGAATAGTTATGGTTAAATTTGAGACAAGGATTGAATTTTAGTCGATGTCTGCAAAGGAGCAAGTTTGGACCTTATAGGCTAGCCCTTCAGACTCTACTGGGAAACTTTCTATTTCATGGATTCGTCTCCTTGAAATGTACTTCCACAGAACTTAAGTCGCTATGTATTACTGATTTGACATCACAGAGTGCACAAACGGACTTTTAGTGAGTAAGGAAGCCCCTGATTTCTGTGCTGGGTGAAGTTGCCCAAGTTAGCACTACAAAACATGTTTCTTCCCTGCCTGGATTCCCAAACAAAATGTATCCTCCTTTTCTTTTCCAGAGTGTGACCTGTTAGCCAAGAAGCATGGAGGTAATTCAGGGCAGGCCCTACTGTTGCAGGGAGCTTGAAGGATCTGACATCTTGTCAGACACCTTTTACTCTAATGAATTGCACACGCCGCTGCAAACTACTACTCGCTCGACTGCCTCTCATGCCAGGTAAACGCCGGAAAAAGCAAAGGCGAAAAAAAGCGTTTTAATATATTCATGTATTTTTGTACGTGAGGAAGAACTTCGTTCTAAGCCTCTTCTGTTTATCACAGCATAGGGAAGGCAAAATAAGACAATTAACTAAACCTTAAAGTGCCTACATCTGTTAGGAACTCGGTGAGAAGAAAGTGGCTATGTACTGCTCTATAAATGCAGCTATCGATTTCATCCATTACTCTGTAGAATTCTAGCATGGTGAGTGCCCTCATTTGGAATTTAATTGGTTTTAATCAAAGATTTTTTATTTTATAAAAATTACTGTAGTGGTTCCCCCAAATTCTCTATACTGGCTGCTCAAACATCCTCCCAGAGCCTGTTGCTCATAGATGCTGAAATGTCTGCTTTACCAGATTCTCTGTAACAGGTTAATTATCCGTTATGATTAAAACTACATACATCTAGTGATCACTGTGTGTCAGCACTGTACCAAATACTTTTAATATGATAATTCTTTTAATCCTCATGACAACCTTATAAGTACTATTATTATTCCCATTTCACGTATGAAATAACAAGTACAGACAACTTGACAAGATCTTAGTGCCAACTTTTTCTGAATTGTATTTATTTGAATCATTTTGAGGGCAAAAAGCTCACTTGGTAAAAAAAATACTGTGTGGTTGTTTTCTTGTTTTATGTGTCTGAAGTTCACTGATTATATATCTCTTATTTAAAAAGTCTTTCTTGGCTCAGCACCTGTGGCTCAAGTGGCTAAGGCGCCAGCCACATACACCTAAGGTGGCAGGTTCGAATCCAGCCCGGCCCACGCTGTGGCGGGCACCTGTGGTCCCAGCTACTTGGGAGGCTGAGGCAGGAGACTCACTTGAGCCTAGGAGTTAGAGGTTGCTGTAAGCTGTGATGCCACGGCACTCTACCCAGGGAGATAGCTGGAGGCTCTGTCTCAAAAAAAAAAAAAAAAAAAAGTCTTTCTTTAGGAAATTAGACAGGAAGTCACCTGGCTTCCAAAATGGGACAGCACTACCACAAAAGCAGGCCATTCCATTTTTGAAAGCTCTTAATTGTTAGAGGTAATTTTCTTTCTGTGAGAACTTTCTTCCTCCTCATAATTTCTCCTTGCTGTTTCTAGTCCTTTTCTCTGAAGCTATACAGCATAATTGACCAACCCTTCTCCAGCAGCCCCTCAAACAGTTTGAAGATTTTTTTGGCCTAAGAGTTGCCAGACTAAACATTGATTTACACAGACTTTGCTCTTCTTTCTTCTTATATCTATGCTGTCACCATTTTAATCTGACTTCCATAGATCTTTTCCAGTTTATAAATGTACTCTTTAGATCAAAAAAAGAAAAAGAAAGCTGTTTTCCCTTAATTATAAAACTAACACATGTTCCTTATAACTTAGAAACCATACAAATCCACAAAGAAAGCAAGGCTGGGTATAGTAACTCACACCTGTAATTCTAGCACTTTGGGAGGCCAAGGCAGGAAGATTGCTTGATGCTAGGAATTCAAGACCAGCCTAAGCAACATAGGGAGATTCTGTCTCTAAAAAAAAAAAAAAAATTAAGTATCCATTTTGCAACAGAAAAACAGGAAAGAAAATCTCTGTGACTTTATTTAGAAATAATAACCATTGTTAACATCTGGATATATATCCTCTCCACTTTTTTTAATGTAAAGATCACATTCAACTTTTTTTGTATGTAAACTGCTATTTCACTTAATTGAAAGGACTATTTTAATATTTAGAATTAAAAGGCTCATGCCACGTCTACTTCTGAGTCAGCTTTTGCTGCCCCTGCTCCTCCATTGTTAACCTGATTCACCAGAGGAGCCATCAGCCCTAAATTCCTCTTCAGTTCCAACAGCCGCCATATTAGGCAGAGTTTCTCTTGAGTCAGATGAAGCCCTTGGCAGAGCATGTGTGATCTGGGGGATAGGCAGTTGTTCCTGGCTGAGAAGCAGCATTGTCTGGTTTTGTATTTAGCCAAAAGTAATCTGAGTAAAAACTGATGGCTGCCACATCAGATTGAATTTACTGTGCCCTCCAAAAGGACTCGCCAAAGGCTTTTCACTGAAATACTGATCCCCTCTCCATGGATGAACCTATGTTTGATTAGTGATTGGCTCCAAAACCCTCTTTTAGCTGGTATAAAATTTAAGAGAAGCACCTTTGGGAAAAGATAGCTTTTCATCAGCTGATTATAAAATTAAATACAACATAAGGTCAGCTGCCTATAAACTACAAGAAGGTATTGTTTGAAGGTGTAGGTTCCCTCTAGGCTCCTCCGACCTAACAAAGTGCTTTCCCTTTTATTTCCCTTTCACCGTCTCCAGATTGAGAAAGGCAGGAGGATCATGTGTTCTCAGAATGCATCCTCTTCGCTCCCTCTGAAAAGGCAACCGGACAGCTTATACAAGATTCTGTTTTCTCTTAGAGTAATTCATTGAACTGTTCTGAAAAGGGTCATCAGGATTTCAGGGGTACCTCTCCTTAGGCTTACCTCTTCAGATGAGGGTGTCTGTGGCTCCCACCTTCAAACCACAAGGTCTCTCAAAAGCAAACCAAAACCTCACAAAACAAAAAGCTGCTGGCTTTTAGTGGTTACCCATCATAATGGGAAGGATGAGCGTGAGATCTAGCATACATTTGCCTTCAGCAGCTTGGTTTCCTAAACATGGGTATATTTAAGGAGACACCGTTTGAAAATATCTTGATTTATTTTGCACTAACTTGGGGGTTTAACCAGTGATAAAAACTTACTTACGGCTCGGTGCCTATAGCTCAACCGGCTAAGGCGCCAGCCACGTACACCTAAGGTGGCGGGTTTGAATCCCCAGCCTGGACCCGCCAAACAACAATGACAGCTGCAACCAAAAAATAGCCGGGCGTTGTGGCGGGCGCCTGTGGTCCCAGCTACTTGGGAGGCGGAGGCAGGAGACTCGCTTGAGCCCAGGGGTTGGAGGTTGCTGTGAGCTGTAATGCCACGGCACTCTACCCAGGGGGACAGCTTGAGGCTCTGTCTCAAAAAAAAAAAAAAAAAAAAAACTTACTTTCTCCCATCAGCCTACTTTTTTCGTTTCATAATGGACAGTGCAGTCAAGCTCCATTGTTACACAGGACTGGTCCATAGACAGGACTGATCTTACATCAGAATTACCTGAGAAGCTTTCTAATAATATAGATTCTCAGACTTGATCTATAGATATTCTGACTCACTGAGGTGGGGAAAAGGAATCTGCATTTAAGAAGTTTTTCAGTTTTTTCTAAGAACCACTGGACTAGCAAAAAACACTAAAAACAGTAAGAAAGCTGTAACTGTGCTTCTGGCTTACCCATTGACCAGGTGCAAGTTAATGGTAATACCTTAGTTACTATATTCAAGTACATAGTTTAGAAAAAGTATAGTAGCCACTATTAGATAATCTCACTGATTTCCTTTAAAAATAGCAAGCAGGCAATATTCTTTTGTATTTCTTCCACTGATAATTTAAGTGGTGAGGATGGCTATTCAAAATCATCACAAAGTCCCCTCCCGTTCCCCTTCAGCTGACTTCTCCTTACCTCTAGCAAGTTCTCTAGCTCAGTAGGCAAACATATCAATTAAGCAGATGCCTTGAGAATTGCTTAGGATTTCATTATAAATTCCCATTTTGTTTCTGATTCTTGAACAGTTTCTTTTTTTCATTTAGATTAATATGAGGAAACATACTATTGGGTTACATTGTTTGCATTTGTAGGGTGAAGTCCTAGTTGTAGTTGTGTCCTTCGCCCAGCAAGAGTGCCATATACCGGTGTGTTGTCCCTATTGGGTGGGAACTTACTGAGCCCCCTCCCACCTGGAACATTTTTTAAAAATATTAGGTCTCTGCCAACTCAAAATTAGGGTTATATTTGTTCTAAGTTTTCCTTTCATCATGCCTCCCAGTACTTACTAAATCCAACTCCCTGGCTTTGGGATTTGATGCTCAAAATAAATGAAAGATATATTCCATATGGATGAATATCTTATTTTAAAGTGACTTTTGGAATATATCTTTCTCGAAAACAAGCAGTTTGGAACTGGAGATTCTACCAATACTTTGAATATTATTCTCTTTGTTATGGAGATGTGTTTTAAGCTCTATCCTAAAATTTCAATTTTTATTTTAATTTAGTTCCTTCTATACCAGAGGTCCTCAAACTTTTTAAACAGGGGGTCAGTTCACTGTCCCTCAGACCATTGGAGGGCCAGACTGTGGGCCCCAGGATGAGTCGGCTGCTAAGCAGGACAGGCAGCGGCGGCAAAAACACCTGGCAGGCCGGATAAATGTCCTCGGCGGGCCATATGTGGCCCGCGGGCTGTAGTTTGTGGACCCCTATTCTATACATTGCTATGAGTATTAAACCTAAGGGAGGAGTGGGATATGAGACCCTAAAGTAAAAGAGAAATTTGACTTATCTATGCCTTGCCTGTTATTTTAAATGGTTTTCTGAAACTTGCTGGTTTTAGGTGGATGCCAGCCCAGATGATTGATAACATTTTCTACTGGCTCATCTTCCTGGGACAATGTAATATACAGGGGTCGGATGTTGAAAAATTGACTAATTTATGATTTGAATATAACTTTTACAAACTTAGATATTAAACTTAGGTTGTCATTAATCAAGTGTGTTTAAATATTTTTCACCTGTCATGTCCTCCAACCATGTCTGTTGATTGCAGTAAGAGCCAGGGGCGGGCTGTAAAGGGCTGAGCCGAATGCCAGCGTCTCTTCTATAACACCACAGATCTGTGGCTGCTGAGATTCCCCTCGACTAGCTAGGGCACATTCACAAATATTTTTCTATGAAGAGCCAGATAGTAAATATTTGGGGCTTTACAGTCTCTGTCACAATCATTTGACTCTGCCATTGCAGTGTGAAAGCAAACACAGACTACAGACAACATATAAATGAATGGTCATAGCTGGATTCCAATACTCAGGAGGCTAAAGCAAGAGCATCAACA